TAGGATTACAGGAGTGAGCCGCCGCACCCGGCCTCAAGATCCTTAATCACACCCGCAGAATCCCTTTTGCCACCGACGGTCACATGCACAGGTTCCCGGGAGTAGGCCATGGACGTTGCTAGGAGGCCCCTGTTCTGCCCCACACAGGGGCTTTGCCTATGTTGCTTTCGGGTCCTCGCTGAAAGTGTTCTTGGCACATAGTAGGTACTCAATGCATATTTGTTGACTGGAAGGAGGAGGGCCGTTCTGTGGCACCCCCTACTCACCCCACGCTGGGACACTCACACCTGTTGGTGAACAGGGTTCTGGCCCTATCCCCCACCCCATGCCCGCAGAGTGGTGCTGAGTAAATACCCCAAGGACCGGGACTGAGTGGGCAAGGAGGCGCAGGAGGCAGCTTCCGGACCATGTGGGGCAGCCTCGGGCCTGCCTCACGCTCCCTTCTTGATGGGGTGTTGGCCTGGATGAGTGAATCTCAAACCTGGCTTTGCATCAGAATCACCTCCAGAAATTGTTAGAAAAGCCAGTGCTTCAGGCTGGGCGCAGTGGCTCACGCCTGTAATCCAAACACTTTGGAGGCCAAGGCGGGCAGATCACCTGAGGTCGGGAGTTCAAGACCAGCCTGACCAACATGGTGAAACCCCATCTTAAAACAAAAAAATAAATAGAAAAGCCAGTGCTTCCTCCTGGGCACCCTCACTGGCCCCATCATGCCCTGGGCCTCCTAACTCCTCAGGACCTGATTCTACTCATCTCCTTGGGCCACCAGCCAAGTGCCACAACCTGGTGGCTTAAGACAGCAGGTCACTGTCTCAGTTCTGGAGGCCACAAGTCCAAAGTCAAGGTGTCTAAGAGCAGCACTTCCCTGAAGGCTCCAGGGGAGGGCCCTTTCTGTGTCTTCTGGTGGTTCCTGGTGTCCTTGGCTTGCAGCCACATCCCCCCAGTCTCCGCCTCCATCCTCTCACGCCCTCCCCATGTGTCTTCGGAGTCATTGGATTCGGTGCCCACCCTGATCCAGTTGACCTCATCTTAACTAATTACATCTCTAAAGACCTGACCAATTTCCAAATAAGGTCACATTCTGAGCTCCAAGAGGAATATTGGGAGGGATGCTCTTCGACCCCCTACATCTGGGGGTCCTATGTCTACTCTAACCTCGAAACTCAAAATTCCCATTAATTTTTGTAGCTAAAAACATTTCTCTTAAAAACCCTGACTTGTTCTGCATAAGAACCTTCCCTGCTAAGATTCTACGTAGGAAGGCAGCCTTTTCTTTCTTCCTCCTATGGCGGTGACCCCAGTGCTTGTCCTCAACCCCAGCCCCCCCCACCGGTGCTTTTGGCAGCACTGGCTTCCCGCTGGCTGCCAGTGTCGGGGTCTTTCATGGGGGGCCTGGGTTGGGATTTGGAGCTGGAGGTTCAAGGTAAGTCTGCACCCTGCTGTCAGTTAGCAAGTCACTCTCCCTGTCTGAGCCTTAGTTACCACTCCTGTCACTGTGGACAGTATCCAACCCTTAGGTCTTTTTCCTCCCTCCATGGTGCAGGATACTGGATGGGCACATAGTGGGTACACGATCGAGAGAGAATGCTTAGTGGGTGCACAGCTGAGGTAGGGCACATAGTGTGTGTGTGGCTGAGGGGATGCATAGTGGGTGCACAGCTGAGGTAGAGCGCATAGTGGGTGCATGGCTGAGGTACAGAGTATAGTGCGCGTGCAGCAGCGGTGGGTGACTGCCTTATGAAAGGGCGTCAGGAGGCTCCCTCACTCCCCTCCTTACTGGAGAATGCACTGACTTCCTTTAATGTTCGTTGTTTGCCACAGAGCTGCAGAGACGAGGCAGTGGCTGCTGGGAGGAGGAGGCCCTCGGTGGTGCCCATGGCTGGCCAGGACCCCATGCTGAGCACGAGTCACCCGTTCTACGACGTGGCCAGACATGGCATTCTGCAGGTGGCAGGTAGGGCCCCAGCTGGGCAGTCCCCAGGACCATGGGCAGTGCCAGCCTTCTTCTCGGCAACTTTGGGTTGAAGTGGGCTCATCAGGGGCTGCCTCACTGCGGCTGGGCAAGATTGACAGCTAACTGGAGCCAGGTGCAGTGGCACATACCTGTAATCCCAGCACTTTGGGAGTCCAGAGGGGTCAGATCGCTTCAGCCCAGGAGTTCAAGACCAGCCTGGGCAACATAGAGCACATCTCTACAAAAAAGTGTAAGAATCAGCCAGGCATGGTTGGTGGTGCATGCCTGTAGTTCCAGCTACTTGGGAGGCTGATGTGGGAAGTTGGCTT